TTATAAATTATTTTAGTTTTTCTATTATAAAAATATTAATATAATTATGTACCCGTATAGTACACATGTATCGTACTAGTTGATACATATTTCTCTTGAAAATTAGATAGGTTTTTGAATAAATAATTTTTAATAAAATTTAAATTATATAATTTAATTTTATAAAATTAGTTGGTAAATTTGAACGACATAAAATACAGATTTATAGATTTAGCATTATATAAATTTATATGAAATAAAGATTAACAAAATATATTTTTTTTAATTGAACAATTTATACAAAACTAAATTTATACTAATTACTAAAAAATTAAGAAAAATTAATGGTAGAAGAGATAAATAGTGAAGATGATAAAAAGAAAATAATAAAAAATATGTGGAGAAGAAAGAAAAAAAGAAAAAAAAATAAAAAAATTAGAAAAGTTAATAGTGGAAGGAGAGAGAAATAATAAAATAATATGTAAATGTAAATTGTAGTGGGATGATGTCATTATTTGTTTTATTTTTGATTTAATTTAATATTAGGGAGTTAGGAGGAAGAAAATTAAGGGGGTGGGGAGTGTAGAGGAAAAAAAATAGAGAAGGGACTGACAAGGAATTTAGAAAAGGGAATAGGGATTTTAGAAGAAGTGTCCCTTTATCTTCATTTGTTTATCTTATAATTTATTACATAATTTATTTTCGTAATTAATGATGTGAAATAATTAACTTATTAATTAGTAGTGTGAAAAACTTAAAACAAATTGAAAATAGTTATTTTCTCGTAATTATTTATCACCGGCGAAAAAGACAGAAAAACTTCCAAAAAAAAAAAGTACACTGAAAATCTCTCTCTCTCTCTCTCTCTCTCTCTCTCTCTCTCTCTCTCTCTCTCTCTCTCTCTTTCAGGGTCTGTCTGAAGGATCCCCAGTTGATGTGGCAATGTTTCATCATTCATGAGTTTCATAACACTAATAACCACCATAATTCCTTGAGCTGAAAGCCACAAACCCACTCACATCCCCATTTTTGATAATTGGGTCCCAAAAGCAGTAGTCAATTGCAGTTTAAAAGATAGAAAGGAAAATGAGTACAAAAGAGACAGTATCAGATTTGGGTGGGAGCAGAAGAAGAGGCACTGCCCCAAAAGCAGGCTCTGTTTGGGAAAGTCGAATGAAGCTCGATCAAGTCAAAGGTGGCTTCAAAGCATTCAGTCCCAATCAAGAGAATTCCCAGGACAACATTCATAACAACGACAATCCTCAAGTTCAGATGGATAAAAAGGCAACTGAAATCACGAGGGCCAAACAGAGCCCTCCTCTTGGCTCGACCGACAGACGAAAAAAATGGAAATCTGATAATTCCGAGGGGAACTCAGTTCAGATTGCGCGGCAGAGATCTGAACTCAGGAAGAATTTGGACAAAGAATTTAAGGAATCGGGTGATTCTAACAGGAGCCCTGCATGGATCAAGAGAAATAGATCGATCCCATCCGGCGATGAAAATGCGATTCAGCTGAGGAAAGTGAAGTCTGATTCCACTGAGTTGGTAAGTTTCGATAAAATTGAAGAGAAAAATGATGAGATCAGTAATTCTGAGCCAAACAGGGATTTGAAGGGCAGTAGTGGGGATATTGACAAGAGCCCAGATAGAGGGATTTCAAGATCCGGTGACGAATTAGCCGATGGCCCGAAAAAATCAGATTTGGGGGATTTTGTTGATGAAAAGGATAAGGAAATTGAGGTTGATGATATTAAGGAAATGACAAAGAAACCTGTGATTGAGGAGAGAAAACTGCTTCAGAACAATGAGAGATCAGTTTTGAGTTCAACAAATGTTCGAAAACAGCCAAGATCTCATCCTGCCCCAACAAAGACCAAGCCAAGTGAGTGTATATGCATACACTTTCTTTAATTTCTTACCGAATTATTAAAGTTTTTAATGATCGGATTTGATTTGATTTAGTTTATTCATTTCTGTTGCAGATAATGTCCATGATGTTCCACGGTCAAGAAAACATTGCAGATTACAAATCTTTGGTGACTGCTTCATACTCGGATATTTGTTTAGTTACTTCACTTTTTCAGATTATTTGTTTCTCTTAAGGATATATGGTATTCTTGTTTTGTTTCAGTTGACATAGTAATGTGGAAAGATGCATCAAAATCGGCATTTATATTTGGGATTGGAACATTTGGTATCATTTCATCTTCGTACACAAAGGATTTTAGCATCAGGTAAGCTTTCAAACGTGTGAACTATGAAAAACTTTTGTATGCTCGAGTTGATTAATGTATATTTTATTATGTGATTTTGGGCATTTGCAGCTTGATTTCTGTGTTGTCATACTTAGGCCTTGTATACCTAGCTGCAATATTTCTTTTCAGATCCCTCATTACCAGGTATTTTATTTATGAAGTAAAATTTGGGCTTTTTTTTTTTTTTTTTTTGTCGAAACAATAGAAATTACTATAAATGAAACGCACAAATGTGCAAACAACTGAATAAACTGGGAGGCCGATCCGGAGATCGGCTAGAAACCGAAACTAGAAAGCTAGAATCAACTCGGCAACACACAAAAACACGACACACACTACATGCACACTACATACACTAAATTTTGGGCTTTAATTCATAATAATATTATTATTTTCTTTATCTTAGACAAATTAGACATTTGATTTGTTTATTTATTTTTGGAATTGAGCCTCACAGGAGAGCAATGGATGTTGATAGTGAGAATCAAGATTTGGTTGTTGGAGAGGAAGATGCAATGTGGATAGTAAAACTAATTCTTCCTTATTTAAATGAGTTTCTTCTCAAATTGAGAGCTCTGTTTTCAGGGGACCCTGCTACTACAATGAAGGTTAGATTTTAAATCTTTGTGTTTTCATTTTATTTATTCCTTATTGCTTAATCATATGAGTCTCTTGCAATCAATTCTAAATTTTCACATTAATATATCTCTTTTGAAAATGAATCAAACTAGTTTAACTCATTTTATAAACAATATGGCATGTCACAAAATAATTTTACAATTTTTAGTATAAAGGAATGGAATTTTATAATTGTTGGTAACATAGTATTTATATACACATACAGTGTGAAATTGAGAAGAAAATGACAACATCTGCCTCTTGCAGTTGGCAGTGTTGCTATTCATTTTGGCTAGGTATGGAAGCTCCATAACTGTATGGAAGATGGCCAAATTAGGTCAGTGTTTTCTTTTAATTTTTTTTTAAAATAAATAATAAATTCTGTGGGCAATTAAAAAAATGTTAAGATTTTCAATCTATTTATACTAGTACGTACCCCGTGCGATACACGAGACAGAGATATTAAATAATTTATTTTCACGGGTTTTGTCTGTTCAAGTTTAAAAAACAATAGGTTGTCATTTATTTTCCAACTAAAAGCAATGCCTATTGTACCTTCTTCAAATTCAATCAATTCACCCGCCACGGGACAGAGATATTAAATAATTTATTTTCACGAGTTTTGTCTGTTTAAGTCTGAAAAACAATAGGTTGTCATTTATTTTCCACCTCTTTTAGTCTGTTTTAAGTCAAAAAAACAATAGGGTTATAATATATTTTTCACCTCTTTTAACCATTGTTTTATTTTTTAGCCAAAACATTAAATATGAGTATGTTAGGGCTAGTTTGTAAATAATTAATATATTATCTCAGTAACACATTTATACTAATATAAATTTGATTTTAGTATATATATTTATTCCTTCATATAAGAGAAAATAATAATTTTACTTATTCTTGTTCACCATATAATATTTAATTATTATTTAATTATAAACTTTGTTGTCATATAATGTCATTATGATTTATAAAAGTTATAGAAGTTGTACATCTTCATTTTCTTTTTATTTTATGTAATGAAAAATATTAATGCTCACTAGTATTATTTATTTATGTAATCAATTTAAAATATGTAAATAAATTTAAATAGATAGTGTATAAATATTTTACAATATACACACATGTTTTTTAGCATTTAATTTTATATACTAATTAATCAACTTTGATTTAGAAAATGTCAAAAGCTCAATTCCTTCTATAATCTAGATTTTTCTAATTCGCATTATAAGGACTTTTTATATATAAAGAAATAAAGTTTTAAAAAATTATATTGGCAAATTAATTCACAAGTTGATTTCGTCTGATTAATGGAAATAGAATGCATTAATTACCTTTGACTTTTCTGCCTCCTATTTTTAGTAAATGAGATGCCCTTTTATATAAGTATAGATTAAAAAAAAAAATCGAGCACCATTGAAAAAATATAAATATCCCAAGTTGTTTTTTTTTTTTTTTTATTAATTGCACTCTCAAAATCAAATGGTACTTATTAGAGCATCTCAAATACTGGAATGTTGTTGTGGTAAATTACATTCCACATCAACACATTTGGTAAAGTCGCAAATTTTCATCCTCCAATGTACAATGTGATCGAGAATGGAAATACTGTAGAAAATAATGTGGTTCATCCACATTCTCCTCTATACTCTAGCTAACCAATGGAGAGGAAAAAAAATTATTCTTACCCCAATTCCAAGTTATCTAAATACTTAATTAATTTTATTCTGCAATTTTTAATTTTTTTTAATACTTGGTAAGTAGATAAAATTGTAGTTAGACTACATTGTGCATTGAAGAAAATTTTTAATTTCATAGATGTCAGCGTAACATTTTTCTTACATTGTTCACAAATTATTTAATTTATTGACATTTGTCAAAATTGGTTTTGTAAAGCATTAAAGATGTTCTTAATCGAACAAAATGGCTATGGCGTTCTTGTTAGTTTCCTAGATTATTATGTCCGTAATTAAAAATTATTGAATGTTATACCTTCTTAAGGTATCATTTTTTTTTTTTTTCGAAACGATATGGATAACTATTATAAAACTCGAAAGCGAACATAGTTCGAATACAGGGACCAAAGAAAACAACCGGAACTAAAAAGTGAGAGACACGCTGACAAAGCGGTCTAGAACCTCAACAACCTACCAACAACAACTACAGAACATAAACTAAAACAAAAAGGAACAAGCTACCAACAACAACTAGAAATAGAAAACCAAAGAAACCACCAGCCACTGCCATAAGGCCTAGCAAGGTGGATCAGTGGAACTAAGCTAGCAAAGGAAAGAAAAGAAAAAAGAAACACCAAAATAGAAGTCTGAGAAGTCAGACTAAGGAGGAGAACTCCATCCAGTCAGATTGGGCCATCTTCACTAGAGTGTGCTCTGGGATCAAAGACTGTTGGAATAGCCACAAGTTTCTAGACCTCCATAGCCACCAAAGCATGTAAGTTGTTAGTTAGATTCTTGCTCCTGCTACTTCAGTGTGATATAAAGAGCAAATTTTGTACCACCATGCCTTGAATGAGTCAGTGTAGCTATGGAGCCCATCCCACTTGACAGGACTTAAGAGGAAAAAGATATGTTCTACTGTTTCAGCTGCTTCCCCACATAGAGAGCAAGTGGTCTCCAACTCAAGCCCCCTTCTATTCAACTGAGTGGTCACTGGCAGGGATGCTGAAAGGCACTTCCAAACAAAATGCTTGATTTTCCCAGCAATCTTAATCTTCCATAAGAGATGGATTTCTTAGCTGCAGGATTAGAGCTGCATTCAGGAATGTCTGCACTCTGAGATTTGAGAGAAATTAAGTGAGCATAAGTGTGAGATACAAAGAAGCAACCTTTCTTGTGTAATCCCCAAAAGAATCTATCCTCTCTGTGAGGGTGGAGAGTATTTATGTTTAGGATTGCAATGCTGTCAGAGGTGTCAAAAACCTGTCTCACTAGCCAAGAGTTCCATTGAGTACCATCTTCATTCAGAAAATCTTTTACCCACTGCAGGTGCCCTCTAGCAATAGGAATGAGAGAAGGGGAGGGCTTATAGTGATTGGGAATCCAATTCAAATCAGATATTCTAGTGCTCACCCAATTTCTGATTTCTATCTTAAGCCATTGAGCAAAGAAAGGCAAAGTTTTCATCCAACAGTTCCACATCCAGGATCTACTAGGGCTACTTACATCATTTACTAAAGAAGAATTTGGGAAGTACCTGTCCTTGAGAATTCTACTATTCTACTGACTAGCAGATCTGGGTTGGAGGCAATAAATCTGCAGATCATGAAAAGCCAAGCCTCCAAACTCCTTGGGAAGTGTAAGGAGACTCCATTTTTTCCAGAACATACCTCTAGCTTGATCATTGCCTGATTTCCACCAGAAACTAGCACATAATTTTGTGATTTCAGAGCATATTGAAATAGGAAGAGTAAAGCAAGCCATAGTATACACTGGAAGTGCTTCAATGACTGATTTTAGGAGTACTTCCTTTCAAGCTGGGCTTAGCATTTTAGCCTTCCAAGATGTTTCCAAGATGTGAGTTTGGCTCTGACTGATTGCAACAGCTATTCAAAAACTTCCTTATTTGTTCTGCCAATTCCCAAAGGCAAACCCAGGTATCTTGTTGACCTGTGGGCAGTCATATTATTAAGAGAGCAGCAAATAGACCTCTGAAGATGGCAGGGAGTATTTCTGCTGAAAAACACAGCTAATTTCTGAAAGTTCACAGCTTGTCCTGTAAATAGTCCGTATTTTTCCAAGATATTCATAAAAAAACCTGTTCGATCAACTCCAGCCTTGAGGAAAACCAAAGAATCATCAGCAAATAAAATATGTGATAGCAATGGCCCATTCCTTAACAATCTCAAACCTTTCAATTGACCAGATGAGATTGAGTTGAGAATGAGTGCAGTGAGTAATTCAGCCACAATGAGAAAAAGGTAGGGGGAAAGAGGGTCCCCCTGCCTTATACCCCTTAAAGGAGAGACATAGCCATTTATCTGTCCATTGATTTTAAAGGAAAATGAGGTTGATGAAACACAGAGCATGATCATATTCAAAAATCACTGTGGAAGCCCATTTGCAGCATAATTCTCTTAATGCAGAGCCATTCAACTCGATCAAAGGCTTTTATAAGGTCCAGTTTGAGTGCCATAAAGCAATTAGAGCCAGAAGAATGTCTATTTGGAAATGAAAAGCCTCTTGGGCTATAATCACATTATCAGTAAGAAGTCTGCCCTCTAAAAAAGCTACCTGGTGATCACTGATACAGTGTTTTAAGCAATCCTTAAGCCTTAGTGCCAGAATTTTTGAGATGAGTTTATAGAGTACACTAAAAAGGCTTATTGGCCTGAATTGACTTAGATTATCAAGATTGGAACACTTAGAAATCAAAGATAATATAGTATTGTTCCAATATTTGAGGAGAGTACCTGAGTGGAAAAAACTAAGCACAACCTTCATGAGGTCTGATTTAATCAGTCTCCAAAAGTGTTGGTAAAACCCTGCAGTCATCCCATCCTCACCAGGGCTTTTGTCTGGGTTGAGGCTGAATAATGAAAGCTTGACTTCTTCCTCTTCCACTGGTTTGAGAAGGGCTGTATTCATGTCTTGAGAGATATTGTTAGGAATTAGGTGGAGTAAAGATTCCCCACCCCAACAGCCCTCAGAAGAGAAAAGATTAGCAGAAAAGGAAGATATGTGATGTTCCAAATCCTTCTGGCTAGATAGCACTTCTCCTTGACTGTTTATCAATCTAGTTATTGCATTTTGCCTCCTTCTTTGCTGTGTGAGGGCATGAAAAAATTTAGTGTTGGCATCCCCTTCCTTTAGCCACTACTTCCTCAAAACCTTCTTTCCCTATCCACCTTTTGTCAAAGTGAAAAGGGGATTTCTTTTTTCTCTGTGGTATACCAAGGTCCAACAACGGGGCTGAGTGATCTGAGGAGCTTTTGATAATATTGGAGACAACTGCATTTGGATAGGAATAAGACCAATCTATGGAGCCAAAAACCCTGTCTAGCTTTTCTTCTACCAATGCAGAAGTTGATCTGTTATTACTCCAAGTATATGGGTAGCCATCTTGCTTAATTTCCAACATTTCCATTTTAGAGATGAAAGTATCAAAACCATTGAAACTGCTACTTGGCCTAGTAACTCCCCCCATTTTCTTAGAGTTTGTGAGAATGTCATTCCAATCCCCTATTGAGAACCAGAGGGAGCCCCACTGAGATTTGTCAACTACCATTTCATCCCTCTGAGCTTCCCTGATTAATCTGCAAGGGCTATGATATACAAAAACTCCCCATTGGGGAGGATGGGCCAGTAATTGAAATTCAACTGCAATAAAGAGTCTTTACATAATACTTTATTAATAATTACAGAAGTATCCCACATCAAAACTAGGCCACCACTTAGGCCTTTGGGATCCACAACTGCTATTCTATTATCAAAGCCTAGCTTTTTACAAACAGATCTAACAAAAGCATTTGGTTTTTTGGTTTCTGAAAGAAAAATAAAATGGGGGTGATGAGCTCTCTTTAGCTCTCGGATTTGTGAAATTGTAGAGGGCCCACCCAGCCCTCTACAATTCCACACCAGAGCTAACATTGGTCAGGTTAGGGCCCACTCAAGGCTGGCAACCTCCACCTTTTCTGAACTTGTTTTTAGCTTTTTGGATTGAACCTGATTGGGAGCTATCATTTCTTCATACAATTCTGTTGGTCCCTTACTTGGTCTGCTTCTCTTTCCTCTAGTCAGTTGATCCATGATGTCTGGAGACTCTGTGGATCTGAGGAGTCTGCCTGCCTTAGTTCCCATCCTTCTCCAAGACTTGAGTGTCTGCGATGTAGCGAGATGAGAAGGATTAAGCCGCATTGATATGTCTGGCGCTATGGTGGTGTCTCCTCCTTCAACTTCCATTGTAGAAGATTCTACTATTTGCAATTCAGCTTCTTTGGTTTTCATATTTTCCCCTTCTTGAAACTGGAGTTGTGTAGTTGGATCAAAGGAGGCTGATATAAATGAGGTAGCACCAACTGATTTTGCTGGAGAAGCAATATCCCCATTACTGGGAATTAACTGGTTATTTTCTTCTTGATGACTGGATGAGGCCCTTTGAGATGTGCCCTTGTCTGTTGCTTTTGGAGATTCAGGTGGTGGAGAGTATCTAGGTCCAGAGAGACTAACGGGGGCCCATTTAAATCCATCAGGAGCACGTAGCCAGTCTCCATACTGCCCCTCTCTGAGGGAATTGTTGCTGAAATCTTCCATCTTCTGTAGGCACCCTCTGTCCAGGTGACCAATTTTCCCGCAATAGTGGCATAGATTAATTGGCTTTTTATATTTGAAACCAACTGTTACCAGTTGGTCCCCCAGACGAACTTTGGCCACTCTAGGCAGAGGTTCTTCGAGATTCAAAGTGACGAGGACTCTCAAGATCTTACCGCCATGGTTACCTGTGGTGGCAATAACCACATTCTTCAAACCTTTGAATGCTTTGCCTATCTTTAATCCCACATCAGTGCTTAGCCAGTTGAGAGGTATATTTTGGACTTGGGCCCACAGGTTGAGCTCCTGAAAGCCTTGATGCTTGCTATTGATTTCAGAGTTCCATTCTTGGAGGATTAGATAGTGGTTTTCAAAGCTCTAATTTGTTCCAAAGGACACCTTCTTCATATCTTCACGGTTTTGAAAGATGAATTGGAAATAATTTGGGCTTAGCTCTTTAACTTTTATAGGGTGACTCAGCTTCCAAATCTGAGACATAGCTCTCTTTATACCTATCCAACTTGCAGGCCTGTCACCCACAATTTTGCCGAAAAAGTTGCGTTGACATTCATCGTCACTAACTTTAATGTCATCCTGGGCAATGTCAAAGATCTTATCTTCATTAATATGACAATGCAAGATCAATACCAAATGCAAACTCCACAAGTAACGATTATGATATTTTAAATCATTCATAATACAATATTGTGCAACTAGTGCTCAATCCTATGCACAGATGCAAATAAAAAATATTGTTAGCCACATGTAAGAATATTATGTTTAAAATCTTAAGTTATATGATGACATATCACATTTTATAAATTTAATTATTACTGAAAATGTATGGAATAATAATAATAAAATATTTTAGTTATATATGAGTCACTATATAAATTCCATTAAATGTAATTAATAACTTAATTTTTACAAATGTAAGTTATCATAATCAATTATAAACTATTATTATTATAAAAATTGTTTATGTGACTTTAATGGTTTGTTTTGCCATTTTAGCTATTTAAATTTAAATATTGCTTAAGGATTTTTTTTTTTTAAAAAAAAGATAATGTTAATTATAAAGTAATGGCCTGAAGAAAAATTGTTGCTATAATTGTGTTTGTAAGTGTATAAGTTCTAGAAATGTAAACTTATAATTATTGAACTAGTATTAAGTTTTACTATGATAAAATAAATAAATAATTTAATTTGTTGAAAATTGTAACGATTGGTTTCTATAATTAAACGAAAAAAAAATAAGCGGGAAAACTGCATTAATTGATAGCCCATGTTTATATAGAAATAGATTCACCAAGTTGAAAGAGGAATCCGCAATAAACATCACATGGAACATGCTTGAAACGTTTGAGAAAACA